CTAACCTGCTAATGCAGACAAGACTATATCGTGTCTCAGAGAACTCTCTCCTTAAATATAAATTGCTGTAACACTCAGCACAGAATATCTGGATAACACAGCTTGATTTATTTTTGATGTTTTTCACAGGTGAGCAAATCTGAACCTTGTAAGGGGTGGGAGGAAAGTAATCAACTCTGGAGGAAATCTATGAGCATGAGTCAGTGAATGGCAGTAAGGAAGCATAAATTGGGTTTCAACAACCCTGCAAGTCTTCTTTCCTTCTTTCTAGTATCTACTAGCTGATAAAGCTTTCACTTAGGCTTTTAACTCATAAAGGCTTTCTTCACAGTAATTAATAGCTATAAAACTCTGAAATGAAGAACTGAGATCTTTGCCATAGCATGGGGCATACTTTGGTAACTTTGGCTATGAAGCGATAATCTTGGAAATGGACATAGGAAAAATCCTCATAAAACACACTAAGGCCTTGGTGACCTCAAAGGAAAAATTAAATGTATACACAGGAAGTATCTACCATAGCTTTTGAGAAAGCAGGTCTGAAAAGTTTTGTTTCAAGACAACAGACTCTACTTCTGTGGTTTCTCACAAAATCTGTTACTGCATAGTTAAGAATTAAAAAAAAAAAAATAGGCTCACTGCAGAGTAGGACTAATTGTACAGATGGCTTTAGAGCTTGGTTAAGCTACTTTGCACGTTAATCTCGAGATAATCTCTGTTTATGCTGATTCAGAAGTCTGATGGTATAGACACAGGAGGCTATGTTTACTAGTTTGAAGGAGGGGGCTTAAAAATACTATATTGGAAACTCTGCTTTAGCTGCTTATCCTTCTTTGTAAAAAGTCTTCCATGTTACAGCCTTACAGGTTGTTAACAGAATGAATGACAATATGACTACCAATATCAAATTATATATGCTTTTCAAATCTAGGACTTTAGAAGCGAGACCACATTATTTGGAGGTAGATACACATAGATGGAGTTACCACGTGTTCACAGAGAGGAAAAATTACTATGATGCACTGAATAATCATTCAGTATCTTACAGTTTTTCTTTTAAGGGCTTGCATGGTGGCACCCCACAATCTATTTCCACACTTCAGAGAACAACTGATGAGGACAGACTTAACTGAAGAATACCTGAAAGGGTTTATCAAACCTAAAGTGTGTACTTAAGCTCAAAACTGCTGTTCTGATAACATTTTATCAGCTGCCGCCTGGGACTAGATACATCTAACCTCAAAAATACCCCTTTTATCTATCCAGCCATGCAAAGTTAGTTTTCTGAACATAACCATCATCATGATCTTAATGGAACCAAGCTAGCTGCCTTGTATTTCAAGCCTGATGGGATAGCATGAGGTAACCGGGCATTTCATTAGCTATTTCTCATGAGGTACTCATTCCAAAATCAGCTGGAAGATTTCTATAAAAGGATTGAGTTGCACTATATATACACACACATATATATACACACATAAAAATATTTTTAAAAGCCCATTTTATCTTAAATATGGCCAAACACTGCTACTCTTAACCAATAAGCTAGTGGCTGGAGTACCTGGCTGGAAAGTGTGAGACACCAAGTTCCTCAGATGGCAAGGATTTAGTATCTTCCCTTCTGGATTGTGTGTCTTTCTCTCCTGGGGTATCACCAAACTGCAGGCTACTCCAGAAAAGAGATGTTCTTAGAAACTTTAATAGCTCGTATGGAGAAAGAATAAAAACATCAACTGATTGATAAAGCTCACAAGAGCTGTATCTTCAGTGAAGTGGTAAAGGCCTTCCAAGTTAGGCTTTTGAGACCTAGCACTAATATAAACAATAAGCCAACGCAGGAGTATTTTTCTAGTTAACTTGCATTTTTTCCAGCATAGCTTTGCCTTGTGAGATATTGGCATACCTAAAATGGGGCCACCACAAGTTTATTTCACGCCTCCATTACTTCTCTCAATCCTATAATGCAAAATATTCTGAGAGGCAAATGTCAATCTGTTAAGCTTTCAAAGTTTTCCACCTGTAAAAAGGTTCTGTTTTCTTCTTGACCCAAAATAAAGGTAGAAGTTTTCATGCTGACTTCATTTACTTGTTTTGTAGAAGACGACTAGTGTGGCAGGAATACATACTTAAGACTGTAGGCTAAGTCATGAAGCATGCTTGGGCTATCATTCCCATGTCACTTTTGCATTCACCTTAGTAAAATTGTAATTGTGGAACTGAAAATGGTTATGCGAAGGGTTTCTTTCAGTAAAAACTGAGAGGAGAATAGGAGGGCATGATAAGCATCTGCAAAGCTATAGGTTTGGAGGTGAGGTTAATTCCTTATTTAACCTTACCTTGTAACAGGGAAAAAGCTTATCCTGAAATAGTAATGGGTGACAGAACTTAGCATTTGTTAGCTTTAATACTGACATGGGAAATATTGGTGCCTTTGGTGTCATTGAACCAATTTGCTGCATGAGGTTGGAATTTGGGTAAGCTAAGCTAGGGTATAAAATGGATACTTGTGATGGGGTGGGGGAGGTATGCCTTTATTCTAAAGTCGCCTAGAACACTTTCCACCAAGCTACTGAGGAAAATGTCATTCCTTCAGGTGCCATTTTGTGTAGCCTCCACTACAGTTAAGGCTTGGTATACTAGAAATTATGGAGTGAGACCAGTATTAGAAAGTGTTTCTCAAAGAAACCTCAGGGCAGTACTCTTCACACTTCTCGGGAAGAGAATTAGGTTTGTGGTTCATTAGTGAGCTTTTGTACCTCGTTTCTGCTTAACCTCAGGTTATGAAACATAATTCATCCCTTAAACAAGGTTTGGATTTGAAATTGAATAATCCTTCCTTATGTGTGCAGGTTTTTATAAGCAAACAATATGTATGTTGATTTAAACAACAATTTTTCCAGCTGAAGGAGGAGACTTTGTCACTGATTGTCCTGTATCTATATAATATCAATCCATGGTTTCTATGAAGTGCTTAGCTGTTTTTACACACAGGAAATAACATCATCAGTCAGGATCAAGTTTGCTGTGACACTGTGTGTAACTCAAGTCTGTCTGCAGCAGTCACTATTAAAATTATCAAGCTTTTGTTAGTTGTATAACTGTCAATGTCCTATGTGGTTGAAAGGCATTTATTCCTAGACCTAAGCTAATAATCTGTACCACTGCAAATATTTACAACTTTAATGGATGGTAACATAAAAAAATTCCACTGGATTTATGCCATATATGCATCTTTGCTGAACACACACTGCACACCAGAAAGAATTCCTGTAGCTAAATTACATTATGCTGCTTTAAATAAAACCACCGCAATCTTATTGAAACAAAAAAGTGAAGAAGGTTTATATATAACCAGCTTCCTACTGCCTCCTTCTGTGCTATTGGCTTTCTAGGCCTGTTTTTCTACGCAAAGCATTTCAGCAATATACTTAAATGAGTGGATGTTGTATAATATGATTATGTGCTTTTCTAAACTGAGGAATGTGTCCCACCTGCTGCATGTTACACATTGCTGCCTTGATTCTTTCATTGGAAGAGAAATTATGTGATGACACTTCTATATTCCTGGCAGCTGTCAAATGCTAAAGTGGAGGCTTAGGGGATTGGGGTGTTTTCCTTTTTCTGCGTACTGAAAACTAGTATCACTTCCTCTGCCTCTTCGTTTTTAGCTCTTAAGGGAAAGATTACATTTCATTCAGGTAACTTTTTTTCCTCAGTCTCATCCCAATATACTATCCTAACTTGTATGACAGGAATTTGCACGTATGTGTAATTAGTGTTAAAAAAAAAAACAACCTGCCTCGAAAGTGTATATAGGCAGTCCTGAGGTGAGCTAGCCTACCACTGAGGAAACAGGGCTGTAAGCTTCCCGCCTTGATCTCCAGCACCCAGCTCCAGCCACAAACGTGTTCGCAACCGAGGGTTACTGCGTTCGTTCTCTTCCCGCCTCGTTCCCCCTCAGACGCCGAGGCGCTTGCTCCAGCGCGGGGCTGACACAGCCTACAGGCTACCGCTGTGCCCCCTCTCCCCGCCCCCTCTCTTCCTCCTTCTCTTGCCAGCCAACT